ATGCGGTCCCACGGCCCTCTGCGGCCCAAAGTTAAAAACTGTTGTTTTTTTGAAGCCCTCAAGATGGCGGTCGTGGCCCACAATTGGGCCGCAGCCCATAGGTTAAGAATCTCTAAAGACATGTAGTTACACACTCATAGTTCCAACGTAGTGAAATGTACTCACAGAAGTACCAGATCAGGAGACCGAGTGCTGCCAGGACAAGAAATATACAGAGACATCCAGAGAGAACGTACTTCCAGGGACATGCCTTTCCTCCTGTGGAAGAAGAATAAAATTACAATTTTAAAAAACCTACACAGACCATAGAACAGTGCAAAAATATTACAGTCTGAGCAGCTGTAACTACAATGTAGCTTACCACCATCAGTGTGTGAATGTGGGTGTGTATTTCCTACCATAAGAGATCCATTTATAGACTACACACGTATATGTTGGGACCAACTGGAACATATAAGGATCTAAGCCTTGTCTCCWTTTGGGSAAATGCCATTGGTGGGYTYAGGATTAGGTTTAGGACCTRGGTGTGAATTGAGTTTAGTTATGTACCTGTGAGATTAGYTTTAGAGTAAATTGTCAGGTTTAACATGTAGAAATTAATGGAAGTCAGTGGAATGTCCCCATATAGATAAGTGGACACAGCTCTGTGTGTGTGAATGAGTGATTTGTGTGAATTGGATTGACTCAAAATGTTAATGAGCTGTAGTTGTATGTCTGAAGCAGAACATAAAAAGAGTTTATTTCTTCTTGTTTCAAYAGACACCAGAATGAGTTAATAAATCAATAACAAATAAATATAACACGTTCCATAACAGCACCCAGGGTGCAGACAGAGGTGAGGAGTTGTAACTAAAATGTAGGATTTTATGAACAAACTTCAAAACAAAATGGTGCTGTGGCAGCAAACATCTAAACTAAACCAAAGCTCTCTCTTAATGCAGAGWGGAGTCCAGACTTACTGCTGACAGATCACTGAACAAGCCTTTAAACCCAAGCAAATACAGACAACCTGATGAACTGAAACCCCTGACACCAGTGGAAACAACCAGGATCAGGTGTGGCAGAAAKAAAACTGAACAGAGGACAGATACACCAGGAAAAACAMTYCAGAATAAATACTAAACAAAAACATTTGACAAGTGTAGGCCAGAGGTTATAAAAGATGTGTTCTGTTTGTGCTACACATCCAGTGATTACTTTCAGTTCAGTCCAGTTCCTAATAAATGGAACAACCAGATAGATGATGCTAAATTTTAAATGAATATCAAAGTMTCAAACAAAGATGTGATGCAAAGTGTGGTGTTGTTCTACCACACCAAGATCTTCAAACCAAGTTTTTGTATTCCAACACTGGTTTGCTGTGGGCGAGTTGGGCTGACTCCAGACAGTATTCACTAGTAGATGTTCAAACAATTATTACATCTGGAAAGTTTCATTTAAATCTGTTCATTGAATCATGAAATATTTTGCTATGAGCTCAGACAAATGAACACACAGACTGAGGTAGAAACATTATTTCTCTGTCTTCCAGAGACCAGAATGATGAAGGTCAAATGTCTCGTGACTTTTAGCCACAAATCAGGTGAATAAAAACAAAACAAAAATAATCATGTTTTTATTTTTACTTCCACTTTCCAGGAGCAGTTTAATGTTCTGTTAGAGAAGTCCATCTCACGAACAGGAACCACCTGTTCAAGCTGACCTGTTCACATGTTTAATGCTGTTTCCTATATGAAACATGCTGAGACTACAAAAGATTTCAAACATCTCTGTCTGTTTAAGGACTGCCTACRATTTCTGACACTCCCATTTCAGCATGTCTACCCAACAAAGCTTCAGGGGAGGGTTGCTCTGTGGGGCAGCAGACTGACTATGTAGGTGGAGCTTTGTACCAACAAGTGTTCAGGCAGCTCCACATGGCTACCACAGGAGATTCAAGGATTTCTTAAACYTGAATGAYTCAAAGCAACACTCTGGGGATGTTTTTGATGAAGGAATGATCTGCTATAAAGCTCAAAAAAGTCAATTTTATGTAAAACTGCCCCCTCTTTTGTCAACATGAGATGAGTGGGGAACTCAGCTTATTTTAGGAATGGGAGTGCTTTTATTCCAAACAACCAGATTTCTGTCAGTGTACCTGTCCTTCGCTTCTGAGCCAGCAGTGCTCTAGGTGAGTCAGTCTGGTGGGTAGTAATGATGTGGGCAGGGCCAGCAGCAGGGCCAGCAGCAGGAGAGCCCATGTATGGCAGGTAGAAAGGATATGGATAAGAAGATGGATAAGGTTTCTGTTCGTCATTCTGAAAGCTCTGGTTGTTGTAAACAGGTTCATTCATCTGTAGAGAAAAGGAAGAAGATAAGATAAGATAAGATAAGATAAGATAAGATAAGATAAGATAAGATAAGATA